AAGAGATTGAGTCCAATAGTTTTGAAAACTCTTCCCAAGCTTAACAAACATTACAGACTGATAGTTATCCCTTGTGTGAAATCTTATTGTTGAATTGAACACCTGTATTCGTACAACCAGTCGCGTATCAAGTTTAGTTTGCTTTGTTGTTAGTCTGAGATAAGCGACTTTCAGTATTTTCAGAACTGTGACAACAGCCGAAAAATTATGACGACGTATGGCTTCAGTCTTGAAACCAGATATTATTTTAGGATCAGTCAAACTTTAACAGTTTTCATGATTTGCATCAGTACAACATATTAAATCAAGTAGACCCCTAATTCCTACGTAAATTTATATGTTTATTCCATGTTCCTCGATCTTTTCTTTCATCAGCTATGTACTGAATAAAGAAATTCTTGTACTAATCAACGTCCTCAATTATTAGGCTTAGTGCGTGGGCGGTTCTCCTAAGTCAGTACATCTGGATTACATAGAATAAATATGAAATCTCGAAACGAATGAATGTAGAAAACTCACTGAATTTTCTATCGTTATGATGCTTAGTTTCATTAGATTCAAACGGCCAGCTCACAAAAACCTCATCTGGTGACCAGTTTAAAACGACCACTTACACACCGATTCCCTTGTCTTCGACCTAACGACTATAAGCATTCAGCTGGTTCAAGTTACTACTATGTTGTACAGACTATATAACTACCCTATGAGAAAACTGATCAACGAGTAAATATCGAATTTCTGCTACAAATCGCTCCAGTTCTACTTCCAGTATAGTACGCTCCAATCCTACTAAAGTAATGGACGTTGAACAGACGGAATTTAACCTAACCAAATAAGGTGCAAACAGTATCTTTTTACTTAGATTCTTGAGACTGTGTCCAGGCTTACAGAATCTCCTGCTGGTCCCCTCATGGGAATTTAGATGTTCACCTTAGTCATAACTTTACTGCTGGAGACTTTGGTGTAATTCTGTCATCATATTTTTTTTACCACTAAACAGTGTTCTCATTCTTTATGGTTTCTAAGTTTGTGAATCATAAACTATACCTCTTCGCAGTCAAGGAACCTCTCTTCCAGACTAGATACACATCTCAAGGAGTAAAGAGCCTAATGTTTCTGCTCAAAAAAGTTCAAAGTTTTGATTGCCTAGTAGCTTGGATTACAACTGGTGGATTGATAAATTGAACCATTTCTCACTAAGTTGTTGCAGTTTAACAGGTGAGCTAACCGAAATCAACATAGTTCTGGAAATTGGCCCCAGAACTGACATACCTTACTCTGTCATCTAATCTACGTCAGAAAATCTCAGGTGACACAATAAACAAGTTCAAAAGTAAGGAAAGAACAGAATCTCTATATTGAGCTAGTAATCAGAATAATGTATGATTAGAACGAGCGGGGTGAGAGGCGGTTTCTAGGCCTTGTTTTAGCTCGCTTGTGAGGCTAATAGGCAAAAAGTAAAGATAGTGCGGAAGGACTAACGCAGTGTACTGTTTTCTGTTCTCAAAGAGCAAGTGTAATCTGACTAGAATTCAATCCGTTCCAGTAGACGAACTGAAAGATCATAGTTTGGAGTGATCTTAGATAGTATTTTGGAGCTAAGGTGAATGTCTGATAAAGTTTTATTAAAATACAAAGAAAGCTAGGCTCCTGAAAGAGCACATCATCGGAGACTGAGTTCATTCAGTCCAATATACTTCCTATCTTGTCACCAGGTACTCCATAAGGATCAATAACAAATGTTGGAATCATTATTTCTAGTTATTTTAAAGGGTTGTTTCAATTTTCCTTGATGTAAAATTATTGTAAGTTGAAGGTTTAAACTTGTCATCAACCCGTCCGCTGTTTTGAGGTTCTAGGTCGTTCGCCACGCATTCTCCTTGATATCTTAGATTAAACTTTGTTTACCATTTGAGTGTTTGAAATAATTGATCTCGTTCTTATATTATTACAAAAGTCAACACTTATATTAATGCTCGTAGTCCTATAAGCTCCATAAATTTCAAAAGAACTACTCATTCTTAAAATGAGTGATGTATAATAGTAAAATTTTTAAAACTCCCATATATGACTACACATAAATGTACTCTTTATAGCGTTAAAAATGTAGTTCTCAGGTTATTTATAAGGAAAGTGGGAAACATTAGCTGCTACCGGGCCAACTCTGAATTTTTTTTCTTAAAGTTCTCGTATAGTTTTCATGATCGAATGAAGCGTATGTAAAACTACAACACTTGGTCAATTAAATCCATTTTACATTTTTTCTACGTCTAGGTTGGTTAATCCCGTTGTGTGCATACTAGCCTTATTAATGAAACGACCAATGGTTTTAAATTTGACCGCAAACTTTCTTGATCTAGTATCAACTAGTTATTTGTTGTATGTTTTCACGGCACACCAACTTCATCCTTGCAAGGTGGCCCACGGAGTTGCTGATACATTGGGTATTTTAAGGAAATGTATCCTCTTAAACCTTGACTACAGCAGGTTTTCATGCCGTTTGTCCCTTCAAAAACTGTCCACATATGCACAGAACTGGTTTTTAAGCAGTGCTTGCTCTTAACTTGGTTTAAGCTCCTAGGACCTCACAGTAAGAAACAACATATTGCGTCATATGGAAGCATCTCTGATGGTGAAGCAAACACGTGCTCTTGTCTATTTTAGGATCGTTCTAGGCTACAATAAAGAGTATTACACTCCTATGACTTTACTGTCTATTAAATGGTCTACAAAACATGTGCTAGTATCACTATGTTTACAAAACGTTTTAAAACCATGCCTGTTTAGAATCATATATATTAAAATACTAGCTTCTTATTTATTTTAACACAAACATTGGTACAAGGGGGAACCTAATACGTATGCTCCATACAATAACAATGAGGCCAGTAATAGTTATCATTGATTTGTGTGAAAGATGGAATACTGACCGGGCGCCTAGACCTAAGCAGGTGGTCTTTTCAGGGGGCCTCACCCCGAACCTTTGACTTAAAGGTCTAATTCACAAGGCAGTGGAGCAACATTAGGAGATGCAGTCCCATGGTAGCCGGTGACCAACAATGAGTTCATTTGCCGCCTGTTCCCTCAGGATATTGGAACCCATATGCACCATTGGTTTGGAATCAGGGTTTTCCAACTCCCTAGGTGGGTCCTCCGAATCCACCAACCCGGTTAAAATACCGGACATTCGCTTTTCGTCCTCTCAATTTCATAAACAACACCCGCCTCGATAAGGGAGTAAATAGAACTTCCCTGGCAGTGGCTGTACACTATTGAAAGTTAGAGGTTTATGTAGGCTGAGGATGTGCTATGATCTCATAGCTGTAGAAGCTAATCATCAACAGCTTAACTGGCTTACAATACGTATCTTTTCAACCTCTGAGTTTTGATATTCAATTAAAATGCCTTCCTAAACACTTGTAAAGTTTTATGAAGCTCAAAATATTGCCTGTACTCTAACTCCCATAATTCATTAGTAAAACTTTGAAATTCGGGTAAACAACGTAGAACTTTGAGAAATTATTGCTCTCTGTTGTGCTACAATAGTAACATCAACTTAAAAGGCAAAACTTGGAAGTAATATGCCTTTGCAATTTATGGATTCATATCATGTAGTCTTTAGTCACTGATATCAGTTACTATGAAAGTATCAAATATGTATATTCTTTCATATGGCTCGGATCAGTTGGTGACATATTTTGACCTTACCGATTTTGGCCGTCGCCGACCCAATGTAGTTCACGAGTGTAGTAGATGGTTGATGTATTTCGTCTCAGATAATGGTGAGCTGGATTATCTGGTAATTAGTTATTCAGTTTTAAGCTCTTGATCCACAATCATCAGTCCATGAATTTTTGTGGCTATTAGTAGAGGTTAGAAAGTATATATTACTCTTGTACAACATTCCATACGTAGCCTTTAAACCAAATTATTACTTTTTGTTTCACCTACGTAGAAGATGAGAAGTGGATAGCCGTATGGCAATTCAAAGCTCCTAAAAGTATCCAAGAGATGAGACCTTCGAGCCCTAGTGTGTTAGTACCTAATGAAATACCAACATGGGTTCAGAAATTTCATTTGGCCTTTGCCAGCTTGCATCACGTAGACGTGAGATCCCCGTGCAATAACTAAAGGTTGAGTATACTGCGCATCATTTTGTTCTGTTCTAATTTATGGCTGTGAGTTGTTGTCTATGAAGATATATTCGTGTGATACCTTCAAAGCTTTGCTAGTGTATGTTGGAATCTTTCGCTGAGCAGCAATAAGGTTGGACTCTGGTTATTACGTAATTATTGATAAGGTAGTGAATCTCCATCGATCGAGGTAATGTATGTCCGATCACTACCTAACTAGACACGTAATGTTTGGTGGTGTTACAGTAGGGTGACAGAAAGGTAGAGGCAACCAAATCAAGAAATGTCATCATTTCACGAAGTTAATGACCGTCGGTAAATGCAAGTTACTTTGTTGAAAATCTCCAATCATTGTAAACAATGTCTGGATATGGCAACTGAAATGGTTCAGGATCGGTCACTCCGGCACAGATTCATTTACTTTGTCTTCCCGTGGATCTTCAGTTTCAGAATTATCTCAAGCTTCTCACCCCGCGAATTCAACATTTCGTCTCAAATCATATTTTCTATGCCGAGTTTTTTGTACTGTCACTCACTCTACTAATGCTTTTACTATGGAATTTGTCTTGATAACTTGGTCTCTGTGTCGATATTGTGACGCAACTGGAACCGATGCACATATGTGGTGCATTCTACGTTTCTTGTGATTGACTGATTTCTCACTAGTGTGAAACCAGTATTTGTTAACGTACTAATCGAAACCAGATTTAACTATTGCACTTAATTATTTTAGAAAGTAATGTACAATACCTGCTGTTTTTTTCCACCACCAACTATTTAGAGTCCGACTATCATATAAGTCTTTCATTTTGTGCTCTAATTCATCAATCATCTTTTTTGTTGCTAAATCCTTTTCATTTTTCCTCAGCTCCTAAAACATCTATAGTGTTTGATTTTCAAATGCAGTGAATCCTTAGTATTTATATATTAACAACTGTATAAAAATTATACATACAAGTATAGACATGTATTGCTTGAATTGCCTCAACTTTCTACCCACATACAACGTATCCAAGTGGCTTAACGAGCCAAGTTATGTTTGGAGGATAGTTTTCCTTTGTTGTTTGGCGAACTTCATTAACGCAGCTGATCGAGTTATCATGCCTATTGTTATAATTCCCATATCGAATCACTTTGGCTGGAATCTTCACCAATATGGATTAGTTCTGAGTTCGTTTTCTGTAGGCTATCTTGGAAGTATGGTAAGCATTACCAGTTCTTTGCTTTTAATTTAAACTAGATTATAGGTGAAAGAGCAGCAAGACGATATGGTGGAGGTCTGGTCCTTAGTTTTGCCATCGCATTCTGGTCATTATCATCCCTCCTCACTCCATTCTTTGCTCACTCTATTCGCTCTCTGATAACTGTGCGTATACTACTTGGCTTAAGAGAAGGAATAGGTAAGAAAGATATTTTGTCGATCTAAAATTGAAAATCATAATCAAAACTCAAATCTAAATGAAAATTTGGTTGTTAAAAGATCTAAATGATGTTCTATAGCTTAACATATTTGATTTGGAGAAATCAGTTACGAAAGGATTAGTTGAATAAATCATGAATTATAAACAGTTATCGCTTGTATCCTACCCACAAAGCAAGCCTATTAGCGTCAGGCAGAGTTATGCATATTCCCAATCTCATTCTGTTAAGAGATTCTTTATGGTATGTAAAAGTATTGTTGTTTCCATCATTTGGAATATATTTTTTGAAGGATAAGTGATCTGAAATTTCTATCACAGGATAGGGTTTTCAACGTCACGTTTATATACAACTCAATAACATGGTATTGTAGAATACATTTGATTCATAAAAAATTCTCACTTTTTTCACCATGTACCAATCTTCAGCTAGACCAAACAGGTACATAATAAACAATAAATTATATTGTGCTGAAAAGTCAAATTACCTGCACATAATGAGTGTTATTAGAAAATATTTCAAAGCCCGACGTTCGATATCCTGTGGTATAACCCTACCTGGAACTGTTTACCCATCATTTCTTACTATTATTATTGGTTGATTTGTATGTCAAATACCTTTTATTAAAAGAAAAATTTCTCTAGAGCTTATCTGGTATGTTATTGTAGCAAATCGATCTCATCATCTAAAATGAATAATTTCTCATCCACCTTAATCAAAAGTTCATTTGAAAGCCTAAGTTATTGCAATATATTGATATGTAATATATGCTTACTTAGTAATGTTCCGTGTAGTCACAATATTTGTTTTTCGTCGTCTAATATAGGTCTTCCTACGGTATTCCACATATTTTCTTATGTTGTGCCTGTTGAAGAACGCAGTCGATCTTTCAGTTATATGGTCACATTTGGTGCTGTTGGTCAAACAGTAGCTACCTTGGTTTGCCCTCATTTAATTTGGTCTCATTCGTTTTTCATATTTGGTTTTATTGGTCTTGTGTGGATTTGTTTCTGGATCCCTGTCTTTAACGTTGTTAGAAGAGCTGAGTCACGAATTGAGTTGCCTGCTCAACAATCTCAGGTAAGTTTTAACTCCTCTATTTTTTCCCTTCGGTTATCGACTCGGAAAAGGTGCAGATTATATCATATACGTTGTCAACTGATAAGAACCCAATAGATAAGTATATTTTTATCTATCACTACTAAGCTAATTCCACAGAAGACTCATTGTCTCCAGATTACCTCTTTTTTCTGTAAACTCGATCTATCTGTGCGTTAATAATTCATGGATACACCTGGAGGATTTTTTTTTCGTAGTTAGTTCAGACAGTTGTAAACTAGTTCGACAATTATCGGAATCAGATAAAAAGACCTTTATATCATTCGTTTTTATTAGCGTATTGAGGTCCTTGGGAAATAAATGCCAAGTTAATCTATTTCATGAGACCTTAAGTTACTGAAACTAAATATGAGTATGTGAATTTAACGGAAATGTTTTTAAGACCTAGCCCTTCAAATGCACCTAAAGTAGTGAGCAAACTCACATTCTAAATCAAAGATGAATATTCCGATAACTTCATGGTACAAACTTTTTCACAGCACCAGCTAACATGTAAATATAATTTCAAGTCAATGACTCAAAGGGAGTGCTTGTCACAATCAGCTATTTCATTTCACAAATACATGTTAAAACAAAGGAGGAAATATTAATGGGAAGAAACTTTTCGCTACTACACGAACCTTGATTCATATCAATCCTTTTAGCCTTTGTTTCACTGAGTAAATAAGTTACTCAAAAAAAATGCTTTCAATCTAGGGGACTAACTGAATTATTCATTACTTGGGTCAGCTCTCTAAATAGAGGAAAGTTATGAGAATAATGAGGAAAGCATATTCCATAGTGTGGGAACCCCTTTTTTCATGAATTCATTGTTTTTGATAAGGTTTGAAGAGTTTTTATTTGGACTCACTACAAATAGTTTTTATCTTCAGGTAACTTATAACATTCTGGATTTATCGTGAATTTCATTTCACTCTTGAAATTCAGTCATCTGTCTAAAAGTAGTGTTATATGAGGCTTTACAGTCATTTAATGGCTTCCAGTTACTAGCCAGCGTTAATTTACTCGTGAACTATCGAGTTGTAAATACGTTAGTGTTCTCAGTCCTCCCTAATAGCCCTTGAAATTATTCAACTAATGTATGTTTATGGTTAAATTCAATAATCGTGAGATCCCATCAACTGGCATACTGGAATCATGTATTCCTCATATCTGATAATCGTTAAATCTGATGCTTCTGATTTAACGTCTTCCCAATATTTTCTGTCTATAGTCTAGTTATCCCCTTAAATAATTGTCCTGTACTGAGACAAATCTCATTTTCTAACTAGTAGAGTACAGCAGGTCTAAGTTTTTCCCTGCTTTTCTTGTTTTACAACGCAGCTATCGACCCTTATGTCGTTGATCTGATGTCAGGATTTGTGTTATTATTGTTGATTTTTAATCCTCTTTAAATCGATAATTAGATTTTAAAGACTGATTCTAGTTCAGGATTAACACCAACCTTTCTTTTTATGTCCACCCTTGGTATACATACGTATATTTGTGAATAGAACATAGAAATACGTTATGACTTTCATTACCTTTTCCTTAAACTACCTAGCAATCGTAAATTAAATTTTAACCCGATCCAGCCACGACACAAAATCGTGGTCTTATGTTCAATTATTTCTGTTGAGTGTCCGTATTGTTTCTTTATTATTATTATTATTATTATTATTGTGCACAGGTTTTTGTATTCATCTATGAATTTAATAAGTCGAAATGTCCATTGTGTGTTAGAGGATTCGAATTTATTTCCCAATTATTAGTTAGTTTACAATCACATTTGATATAAACGCGTCAATAAGAATAGGTATATCATTAGATAGATGGATGGGTGTTTATACGGCTAGTAAAATAAAAATACTTTACTACAAAGTTTCTATCAAAATTGCTAATATTATTGTTATAAAAACGGTTATGGCATTTTTTAAGTACGCTCTGACTGTTGAATTGACCGAATGTCAGTAATTGGCTATATGATCTAACTGATTGTTAACGGCTCATAAGACTAAATTTATTTACATTAACTAACGATTTCCAAATGATCGACAACCGAAATTACTGAACATTCATTTTTGATTGTTCTGTTCTTAAGTTTAACTAAATGAGACAATTCTTCATGTACAAAATAATTACACTGAATAAACTTGTATACTATGTGACCAATCATTGTTGAAAGACATAGAACGGCTTTTGAAAATTTGATGAATTTCGGATAACGACCAGATTTTTGTATATTATCTTACGTTAAATATTTTAAATTAACCAACTAGGATCTTTTTGATCCACTTTTCATGTTGTTCGGCAGTCATCAGTTATATGCAACCTTGAAGATACTTTTGCTTGTATTGAAATCGTCGCCTAAAATACCCTGCACTTCTGTGTAAGTTATTATTGATAAAAAAATTACAGGAGTTGTTTATTTGGTCGTATTATGCTGATAAGTATATTGTAAAGCTGATTCGTTGATAGGTACTAACAAACCGAATTGGAAACTGAGTCAACCCATTGATGACATCAGATCACCCAAGGTTGAATAGTGTGTCCCAAGATCCTACAATTTAGTACTAAGGCTGATGTCACCATATGACAAACCAACTCGTGATTTCGGATATTTTCTTAGTTTGAATTTACTTAAACCCTGTTATAATGCCGTTTCAATAAGATTAACTTTGTTTATCTTATCGTAAATTTCTCTGCTGATTTTTCAAATGAAGCCTTCCAGACCGTCTCTTCGTTGGACCGAATTCGTTTCACACTGGCCATTATGGGCAATTTATATTGCTCATTTCAGTATGAACTGGTCAAATTATATTGTAATGCTATGGTTACCGACCTACTTATTCCGTTATTTGGGAGCTACTGAATATGCAATAATGCTAACAGCTATACCTTATATATGTAATTGTATTGGGAGTGTTAGTAAGTTTACATTTTAACTAATATGTAGACTTTCTTAGTATCTATGAATTTTTTCGTCATACATGCTTGGACACTTCATAACGTGCGATTCAAGAGAGGTTGGGGATGAATTCCGTATTTCTAAATCACGTTAACATACTAGTAAACGTTTAGTGTGGAACTTCCTCATATACTCTTCTACTCGTTTTAAGAGTCAGAGGTCTGAAATTTACTCCTAAAGTACTACATATCTTCCTGTCTCATGGGTTTTAATTACTTGACGGATTTTTTGAAATACGAAGTAAACTTTGAAATTCTATCTGCTATTGATATCAGATGACCATTAACTAATTGTTCACTCGTCTAGATATGCCGACCAGGTAGCTTTATTTGGTTTTATGTACATCAAAAACAAGTAAAGCGATTCAGATATTTCTCGTTACCCACTCTTGAGCAACAGAAGAGCTCCGTAAAAATCTATACGTTTTACGTTTTACCCTCTTCTCATATCACTTACCTACCTAACCAACTCGTTTTCGTTTCCACTAGTGATGCTGACGTTCAGGTTTTATAGAAAACATCCCTAGTCCTAATTAACTGGATATAATCGCATTTAATTTATGTACCTCGTGTTAAATCAGACAATAAACCTCGTTTACAGAAGTCACTGTTAAGTGCCGCCAGTTTGTATTGTTTCCAGAACTTATTAAGATAATCGAAGTCTATTTCCTTGTTTTTCACAGTTAGTTGAGCTTCTACAATTTACTCTACAATCGCATCAAACAGTAATTCATCTGCATTAATAGTTAGAGGACAAAAAAGGTTAAAACCAACTAAAAACCAAACCGTGAATAAATGTTTTTAAAATATTCTGAGGAAAAGAAAGAATTCAGAATGATTTCGAACTATGTTATCTCGGATTTTCACTCTCTGATTGTAGTGACTTTCATGATGTTTACGATTCTCCACACATTGTAGATCAGTGATTGATCGGTCGGATGCCTTCACGTATGAGAACTTCCTTACCCCTAAATGCCCTGGTATGACCGATGTTGGGCAGAGTCCACTCTCTCTCTCGAAATGCTCTCATATAGCCACGCGTACGACCACCGCTATGGAAGTCCTATCCACTGCCTCATCGCGGCGGTTTTTACGTAATTGAGAGGACGAAAAGCGAATGTTTGTTGCTTTAACGGGGTTGGTGGACACAGAGAATCCCTCTAGGGGAGTTGGGAAACCCTGATTCCAAACTAATAGTGAACATGGGTTCCAGTATCCTGAACGAACAAATGGCGTATGAACCAATCGTTGGTCAGCGGCTACCATGGGACTGCATCTCCTTACGTTGCTCCACTCCTTTGTGGGTCAGAAATTCAGGTCGAAGGCTCCGGGTGTGGTCCCCCGAGAAAACCACCTGCTTCAGTTTGAGCACCCGCGCAGTATCACAGCCCTCGCACATATCAAATGAGATTTGTGTGGCGCATATGTATTTGGTGCCTCCTTGTACCAATATCTATGTGTTAAAATAAATAAATGAAAACAGTTCTTCTACAGAAAGTGCGTTCGACAGATATTGTAGTACTAACCGGAGACTTGCTGAATGCCCAGGTCGGGTGTCCAGGCACAAAAGAGAGTCGTTTAGGTGACCGATGGGAACTTGTTAGTCCCAGGTCAGATAATGAAAACGGTCTACTGCAACTGTGCGCAGACCACAACCTATTTTTGACTAGCACTAACTTTCGGCACAGTCATCACCGATGTGCCACCTGGTGTCCTCCATCTGCATCTCAAGCCTGGACTCAAATTGATCACATCGCGATTAGCTACCGCTGGCGTGGTTGTGTACAAGACTGCCACTCCTTTTGTAGTACCTATCTGGACTCCGACCATGCACTTGTTCGCGCTAATCTTACCTTGCGTTTCAGTGGCCGACAAATTCATTGTCCTAAACGGGTCGTTATCACTAAACTAGTTACAGCTTCTGTTGCAACTAAATATCAAACCAAACATGATTCAAGGCTAGGTATTAACCCACTGAAAAGTATGGATAGAAAATGACCGCTCTGCATGACACTATGAAAATGGAGAGCAAAGTCACTTTTGGCTTCGTGAAGCGTCCTGCTCAGAAGCATTGAGTCTTTTACAGGCTCCTTACCTATCAGGACTCTGATCATGCACTTGTTTGCGCTAATCTTATCTTACTTTTCAGTGGTCAACAAATTCATCCTCCTAAACGGATCGATGTCAGCAAATTGGTTGCAACTAAATGTCAAACCGAGCTACCTTCTAGGCTAGCTAGCAATCCACCGAAACGTATAGATGAACATTGGCTGCAATTGCATGACGCCATGAGAATGGCAAGTAAAGTCGCTTGCGGCTTCGCGAAACGTCCCGCTTGTAAGCACTGGGTTTCTCCTGGCTCCTTACAATTCACTGAAGCCCGTCGGTCTACTCTGGGTGACCGTGAGTTTGACTACAAACGACGACTGTTACGTAATGAAATTGGGAAAAGCTTGTGTCAGGACCGAGAAGTCTGGTGGTCGGAGCGTTCCAATGAGTTTGAAGCAACAGCTGCATCTGGTAACTGCCGGAAGCTCTTTCAACTCATCCAAGACACTGGCAGCAAGAAGTCTGGTGTGAGCGAAACAATTTATGAGGATGAAGGGATGTTAATCACTAACATCAAACGACGTCTTGTACGATGGGCAGAGTAGTTCCAGGAGCAATCGTAGTGTTTCTTGACATCAGGGCCGCTTTCGATTCGTTGGACGGGACTGTTCTCTTGGATTGTCTATTGAAAAAGAGTATGCCTGAGAAGTTTATTAACATCTTAAAAGCCCTATATCCAAACACCTCAGGTAGAGTGAGCGCATACAACCACCTTTCTCCATTGTTCCATCCGAGCAGTGGGGTTAGACAGGGTTGCCCAATCTCACCATTCCTCTACAAGTTTGCTATCGACGACGTTCTAGAAACAGCTCTGATGGATGTAAGTAATGGCGATGTGGATCTGTTCCCTGAAGAAAGAATTCTCGACCTTGAGTATGCGGATGATATTGTCTTACCGCGCGATAATACCCAAGCCATGCAATCCGCACTTAATTAGTTAGCAATTAATGTCCGTAGGTATGGTATGTGCTTCTCACCTTCGAAGTGCAAAGTACTTTTACAAGACTGCCAGGACCCTGATCCTGCACTCACTCTGGGCAATGAGCAGATAGTAGTCGAGAAGTTCGTGTATCTGGGTAGCTGCATAAGTGCTGGTGGTGGCGTGAGTGATGAGATCAATGCACGTATGGTGAAAGCCAGAGAGGCTTATGCCAATTTTCGCCGAATTCGGTGTCTTCGTGATGTCAGTCTGGCTGTAAACGGTCGGATCTACAACGCGTCGGTGAGAGCAGTTTTGCTCTATGCTTGTGAAACCTGGCCTCTCCGTGTTGAGGATGTTAGATGACTGTTTGTGTTTGATCATCGTTGTCTCCGAAGGATTTTTGACATCCAGTGGCAACACCATGTTAGTACTGCAGAGGTTCAGCATCGTGTGTTCGCGCACAGAGACGATAATTCAATTGGTGTCACTATCTTGAAACATCGACTTCGGTGGCTTGGACATGTTCTACAAATGTCGTCCCAGAGAATTCCAAGTCGTGCATTATTTGTCAACGCTGGGACTGGTTGGGAAAATCGGAGAGGTGGTCAATGTATGACATGGTGTCGCGGTATGAAAGCTGTACAGGACTGGTTTCTGTCGGTCTTCCACAACTTTCTGGTTGTAGTCTTACAGATGGTGCCACACAGTGGCTAGAGACGTTATCAGATATGGCTCAGAACAGAAGCCAGTGGCGATACTGCTGCATCTTTATTTTACTTTATTCATAAGAAAATGGACGTAACGCAAAATTGTAAATTTCCTTAATAGAAATCTGAAGTGCGTCTACTTATTCAAATTCACCTGTCGTAAAAGATACTTTGTTTTTTTACGCTAAACCGATTCTTTCCTTTCAGTCGCCGGACGGCTAGCGAATTACTTAACTAAACGGCAGTTCACTGTACTAACTGTTCGACGCTTAATGTCATCTATTGGTCTTCTTGGTCCAGGTGTGGTACTTTTTTTGTTTTCCCTATCAAGCAGTGTAACATCAGCTATTGTGTGAGTTTTTAGATTTTTATTTGTAATTTTCTCGTTATCTCTGGAATATTGAATTGAAATAGCGTTTTGCAACACTCCTCCAGCATTATTATCAATGTGTCTTCTATGTATTTCTTTCCGGTATTAGATTAATCACGATCCTAATAGCTTTACGAATATCCTTTTTGTATTTAATTAAAACATTTTAAAATAAGATATCTGTCTTCAAATTTCCCAACAGGCATGTGACGTACGTCCATAATTTTCTTTCGATTCCACCCGAAATTCCCTGCACTAGTTGCAACGAACTACCACATGATCTCGTTATTTTGGTTGTACTCTTCGGAAATGTTGTGCTTTCCCAAAGTTATTAAATTATTTTCGTTGGCACAGTCCATGTAATGCTGTTACTTAGTATCTGCTATCCATGTATCGTACGCATCAGATATTATATATAATTTGGTACTGACAGTCATATCAATTTTGTCTATATATATTCAATGTAAAAGTTAAAAACACTAAGTTTTTACTCATAGCATCACCTATGACTATTTCTTATACATTCTTAGTTTCTATTGAAATTTATGGCTACTTGTTACAGGTTCTGTTCTTTTCTGCTAAATACGCTCAAAAATTATAGTTTTGTTTCAGGGAAACATATAGTGGTTAGAACTGTTTTGTTAGTCAACAAAAATCCACGTTGAAGAGTTCCACAAATTATCGGGTTTTTTGTAGAAACAGTGTAAGGAACAATGGTAAATAGTAAAAGGTTAGGTTGAAGTAAAACTAAGGGACGAGCTAACGTATAACTTTGCGCCACTTAAGTTAATTTTGAGGTACGCTTATGTCTTCCTGCATGGAATAATAATTTGTTTTAACTTGAATTTTCTGATGCTTCCTGGCACATTCCTACTCCAAAAAACACTAGAAACCTTTATTTTAGGTAGGTGGGTGTGGGTTATGACTGTTATCGAACTATATCGATGTCTAAAGCTTGCAGCACCACGAATTTATCATCTTTACCTAAAGCAGTGTGACTCTTTTCATCACTGTGTAACCAAAAATTTCACCACAACGGTATTGATGTTAAAATATCGCTAGTTCAGATACAGTATTCTGATTTCATTCATTTATATTCTTTGACCACATCGTATTACCTTTCAGGGCAGTTTTCGCTATTCATCTATGCATTTCATTTTGCCTCTGCTTCTAAAGTTGGCGTAATCTGTTGACTATCAAACGATCTCTGTGTTCTCTAGTCTGAGCTATGTTGGTAGATGCAGACTACTTGGTTGGGGTCCGCGTGACTATCGTAACCAATAGTTGGAGACTCTTGGTAACATGGCTCAGAATCGATCACAATGGCGTCGGTGTATACACTCTTTATCTTCCCTTAAACTAAGAGATTAAAGTCGCTTCATATCTTTATTTCTACTAACTAATTCTTTCTTCCTGTACTATATCCTTATTGCAATCTCTCTTTTATATATTACCACCTCTGAATTAACTACTTTTATGAATCCGGTGTCCATCTTGTTGTGTTAATGAGGTATGGCAACTTGATCGATGCATATATGTGCCTGGTCCTACGTTGTAGCTGACTGACTGACCTCTTATCGAAGTGTCAATGGAATTCATTTTCACTACGACACTCCAAACTACTTGTCCGAATAAGTCACTTTCAAAATTAATTCTTCACTTCATAATCCTTTATGGCTCCTTTATAGGTAGCCTGAATATTTTCTTAAGGTTGATGGCGATTATCCACTAATAGCTATAACATTGTTCTTTTTTGAAGGGGACGTTAACATTCATTTTCGAGTAGCACTTGGTGAAACTTAGCAATGATGTTATTTTCTGCAATTATCCAAGGGGAAATGCAAATTCTTCAAGTATGGCGTAACTTGTGTCCAAATGCATTATGGGAAATAAGCGAATTTTTGCAATGCGATACTCTGGACACCAGGTTTTTAATTGAGATTTAATCGATGTAAAAGCCAATGAAGTGTGTTTCATTCAAAAAGTGAAGATGACCAGTCAAATTCAAGCTGGGCGGAATGGGTTATTTGTATTTATAGGAAAATCGTCGTTCATGAGGTTGTAATGAAGCGTGATGACATTATAGTTAAAACATCTGATCCGAAAGACTCCATGATGGAGAAATTTTATTACAATTCTGACACTAACATGCAATCATATATGCGTAACCCTACAGTCATTTAGTTTTCATCGGAATATGTGAATCTGATACAACGATAAAAAAATAAGGTAAATCTACAGTACTTCATGGGTATGCTTGTCTGTATATTCCTGTGTACAATATGTATCATTCATGTAAACAAAAATTAGTTTTTCCCTTTTGCCTTAAAAAAACGTAGCATGATACTGAGATTTTCTTCGATAAACATAAAATATTATCAGGTGTTGACTATTTTACGGGACTGAATTGAATGAATATTCTCATATAACGTTCCTATGAATTATTTTTGTGTTGTCAGTTGGTATTCCCTATCATTTATGAGTAATTACTTCTAGATTTTGATTATTATTTCACTGAGTGTAAACTGCAAAATGTTGGTACAGAAGTCTTTTAAATCCGTCTGTAGCCTTATTATTTGTACAATATTCTTTTGCTATATTTTCCAATTGTTCAAATTTTTACATATCATGAAAAATTGTTTTGTTTTTCTTTAGTCAGTATTGTTCGTCAATGTTAAATATTTAGAAATTGATACTGGTAATAAGCTCGAACATAAATGTAGATTTTAAAAAAACACTTAAAAGCCTTCCTGTAAAGAAATTTCAATTTTGCGAGTTCATAGTAAAATGACTTATCTTTTATTCAGTCCTTAACGTAAATAAAAATTAGCTCAGTAAATTAGATGCAAATGTGTGTAATGACTGTGAATCCCACTTAGTATGCTTGCTGTAAACCATCACTGAATTATGTATTCCTAAGTAAGGTAAGTTTCATTATCACATCTTATAAAAATGCATATTATTATAAGATGATTGATTACTTGTCATGAAATAGTGTTTTCTTGTTGACTTTCCAACAGAACTCATCTAATAGAATTTATTTTCTGTAGTTTTACCACTAGCATCAGCTGTGAATATACCTGAAAAGTTTATAAAATTATCGTTTATCATATGGCATTCACGATATTGCTGTCAGTATCAAAATATTATAAGTGTATTATATTCTTTTTTCGATCTTTTACTTTGATTCAATTCATCTTATTTAGCCTGATTTCTGTGTCAATGACATTTTCCGCCTTCAATTCTGCTGGACATTTATGTAATCATGTAGAGGTTGCACCTAATCATGCAGGCACCACATTTATCATAAGCAATATTTTGGTGAGTATCATTAGCTTTTATTTTGTTTTATTCGAAAGTGATTCAGATTTATCTATTTAATACTGGTGTATGTTTTTTGGTATCTCCTATGTTGGTCATCAAAGTTTATCGTTAATTGCAGTGAGATTTAGCCTATCAACATGAAAAATCAGTTCTACGGTTTAAAATAATCGAAAAAGCACAAGAAATTTAAACCATAAATATCGGGCTAGTGAAGCTTGAGTAAAAATGATGATTGGTTTTTTACTGCTGTCTGCATTGATTATCAACATTCTCACTCATTATTAAATAAACAGAGATCAGTTCATTCCGTTCCTCTTAAATGTTGACGTAATGGTGCTTCATAATTGAGGGATATTTTACTACGCTTATTGGATCGTTGACTCTTTCATCAATAACTAATACTGTTACATTCGTGTGTAATGGGTCGATTAAACGTTTCCCCGTTAATTTGTTCAGGCATATTAATCTCATACTATCTTAGCGAAAGATGTGCTTAAAAATTTCAAGGTTAGTGGGTTGTATTTTATGTAAATGCTTTTAGAAAAGATATAATGCCAACCTACGTGCTTTGGTAATAGAGTCTCGAAGTTATTTTTTTTAGAAGCTGTGAAATTGAAAGCTGTTGTTTCTTGCATATTTAGTTTATAATTAGTTAGTGTTCATACTCAAGTAGAAATAGATCAACAGAAGTATTGTATCCTGAGCACCTGTTGACTTCATATCATATTATGCAAATTTGATTAGTTTTGGGTTATAAATAATTCTCATGTAGTCGGTTTCTAAGGAGTAACGTAACAGTTTTCTATATGCTTTGGTGTAACTCCCGCTACAATGGATCGTGAGAATAGAATGTTTAAATTCGATTAAATCATATATTCGAGTCGTCCTCCTGAAAATCAATGCTATTAGTAAAGTTGTAGTTGTTGTGTGATCATCCTCCAATGAATTTTTCTTTCTATCATTCTCAGAGATTATTATTCACCCTCAGTAAAAATTCCTCTACGGTCTTGAAATAAACTTATACCGTTGTACGAAATGAAGTTAAATAAAACATCCACCTTTCATTTTTTGTGAAAATTGATACCACTAAACCGATTAAAAATTAAAAATAAAGAGGATAGAATGGGTGAACGAATATCCCAAGGATTTAATATTCTGTACACTTAAATCATGAAATGACATACAGGAAGTCATTGAGTCTAATGGTCTGAACTGGTGGTCAAAAGTACTCAGTGCCACATATGACTGTTTTGTGAAGAAAGGTGAGATGAGGTTTCGGTTTATTATTTAAGATTACTCTGCCACTGCGATTAGTAATAGCGTAAGTAAATACAGTTTCACGATTGAAACTTTGTGCGTGTTCGAAGTAGACGGGAAGGATTAATTCTATTGATTGTCGTTAAATCACAGTATATGACTACAACTCAGGTTTTCTTTCCACAGTAATTTTTGCGTTAATGTGCGAATCTGTTTATTTGTTCTGTTTACTCACATTCTTATTGTGTAAATTCTGGGCTGAATTTGTCCACGTGATAATTAGTGCACACTTAGGCATCAACGTGAAGACGTAGATGCGTAACCAAATCATGTTTCAGACATAATTTCAATAAACTATTATTTTTTTGATTTTATGAATTTTGAAGAATGTTATCACAGTTAATCTGTGATTCAAGTTTTTCAGTGAAGTGATTCACTACCGCTGTTTCGGCGTTAACCCATTCACTTCTACTTGTTAATTATTTCCTCTGTTGCATTTCCAACTACACTTTCCTATGTTACTTCTAGTGACCACTTATAGCGTGCTTTTTACTATCTGAGCTGTATATTATCTCGAAACACTGGTCTAAATTCTAGATAAGGTGATTCTAATTTAAATGTAGTAGCAAATAAGGCTTGGAAATAGTATTTAATATAGATAATTTTTATATTGCCTTATCGTTCATTGCATTTTCTACTATATATAGGCTACTATACCTGGAATAGTATGTGGTCCACTAACTGCCGAATTAGTTATCACATCTGGTGGAAGGTGGTTTCCTGTATTCATACTAGCTGGTTTTATAAATGTAGTTGGTGCTGTTGTGTACATTAGCCAGAGTTCTACAACGCAAGTATTGTAATCATGCGAATAACGTGTACAGATGTCCATGTACATTCACTTTTTTTATTCTTCTAGCTTTGTATCTGACTATTTTCCTACCCAAGTCTATACTTTCTCTCCTTACTTAATTAATTTATTATGAACTGTGCCTTCAACTTTCTGTTTGACGAAATTCGTTGTCAAATTTACGTATCAACCATGCATGGTATCTTCGCAAAGATATGGCCAAGATTTATCTATTGAATTTACTCGGTTAAAATTATTCACCCTTTACTATAATGAAATCACAATGTTTCGTTATAAATTAGTGAATCGATAAATCATTGTTACTTATCCCTTGCTTTTAACAAATAATGCTGAGTGTTAAAAATGAATTAATACAGTGGCAATATTAAGTTATAGAATTAAGGATAAAACTTGGTTTCTTATGCTTAGTTTTATCAATCACAATGAAATTTGAAATAATTGTATGACAAATAAACAAATACATGACTTAATAGTCAGAATAATTTACTGCCCAACACTTAACATTCTAAACATAGGGATCTAGTGTTTAAAGTTTTCATTCCCGTGCTATAATTCTGTTATGAATAACCTATAAAATAGTATTTTGACGGTGAAATCCTGCAATAATAGAAGAATCTAAGAATATACAAAGTTCCATTTAGGAACTGGGGCATTTTCTATAATTGCACTAACACGGTACGTTTTATCACCCTCAATGTTTCCACTTTGATGCAGACCAGACAACAGATAGGTTTGGTGGTCCTTGACAGATTGACACAGGCATACTGGTTGTACCTTCTGTTACGATCAAGTCGAGTTGGGTCCAAGGTTAGCTACTATTCTACCGGAAAGTGTAGAGAAATGGCTGTTTTTGGTGACACCATAGAAGTTGCGGCTCTGCGAGACTTCCCGCCCTCTAAGCATGGATTTTGCAGATCCATCGGTCTGTTCTGGCGAATCACAAGTTTGATGACATGTAAATTCATAGCTCAGAACCTTTTACAACGTTTGGATAAGAGGTGAGTAACCTGAAGTCCTTAGCATACAAACGATTTGAAAGCAATAGATACATCCGAGCCTTATCGGAAGCTGTTTCATTTTATCTTGCCATGTGCTCTGTGACTAGTAACTTTAGGTCCACCCAGTGAAGCAGAGGTCTGTCCAGAGCTACGGATCCCGGAAAGTCATCAGGCCTAGAAGATCTATAACGAACACCTCAAATCCTCAAAAGCATCAAAATCTGAATGTATGTCCAACCATTCCATCGCGACGCTAATGAGTGTTTGAATTATGGTACGAACTAGGAATCCCAGGAATAACTCTATCTAATCAAGAAGTATTAGATGAGCACGAATAAACATATTATGTTTGGAATTCTTAATCAAGCAGTGAACAAGTACAAAGGAATCTTTAGTTTATACAAACACCATACGAGGCCATGTTTGTAACTGTACCGTTTTCGTTCATTTATTTGTTCATAATACTACCTTGTCCACCATATCATCACTATGTTTCCACTCTACTTAATTGACACTATGTTTTGGTTTCCTAATATACCGGGGTTTATATTCATTCAATAAGATAACTAAAAATGTGTAAATTCCGGTAAGATATATTGAATTGTACCTTATGAATATGCTTACTTGTAGTTACATTATAATTACCTTATATTGTTGTTGTGTCTTGTTATTGGGGTTCAGTTCGGGCTATGATGTTACGGATCTAAAAACGGAAACGATTGAGCCTTTCTAATACGATCCACTCTCTTTGGAACTGACAACTGTAAATTATACTCAATACATTAAACATCGATGGCCAAGAAAAGAATAAGACGGGATTGCAGATAACTCGATATTTGTGGTAGAACAGAAATTGTCTATGTTAGCGGAATATCATATTTGAGCATGGATCAATTTAGCGACCTAGGAAACATAACAACCAGTCAGAGGGCAAAGGTCATGCGGAAAGTCGAACTATTTCAGTTTCAATTCGGAAAGGACAGGAGGCTAGGTGGTCTATGTTAGTCCTGGCAATGATGATCTCAGTCGACTCAACATTTTTTGAAAGCGTCGATAGATGGAGGTAATGAGTTACATTCGTTGATGATTCGATCGAGTTTGTTCTGGACTTGTGAACTTTTTTGGAGTGCCATTATAAACTTTTTTTGAAAACTATATATTTCTGCCACGGCAGCTACACTCCATTTTCACAGGCTTGATCTACATATTACAACATGAGTTTCCTTACAGTATGCTTCCCAAGCAGAACCGTAAGATAAATGAAATCAATATATTGATTCCCACTTTTATAAATGTAAATAACAGTACATTCGTGCAGATATCTTGGAGCGCTAATGATTAGGCTTGTGGTTTAGTATTACCCTGAATACAGTCTTCAAATTATTTTGGTATCGCGTCCACGTTACATGTCAGATCTAATCTCGACCTAATTGTGTTAGAATTCCGGTTGTTTAAGTATTTATGCAATACCACTTTTTAAGTTTATAGTCTCTATAAATTAGGTTTGTAGAGCATTT